GAGAGAGAGAGAGAGAGAGAGAGAGAGAGAGAGAGAGAGAGAGAGAGAGAGAGAGAGAGAGAGAGAGACTCCCCCCCCCCCCCCCCCCCCCCCCCCCCCCCCCCCCCCCCTCGGCCTGCCTGCCCACCTTTGCCCCCCCGCCCCCCTCCCAACCCCTCGGCCTGCCTGCCCACCTTTGCGTGCGAAGGGTTGTCAGTTTTCCATAGCAGATTCATTCCAACAAGGCTATTTGTGTCCCTATATGATCTCCACAAAGGAGGTTGTCCGATCGCTCAAGCGGCAACTAGCGGCCCTGCTATGGAGGAACAATGGTGAGCTTCCGAATGTTATTAGCAGGGGGCCTGGTTATCGGTGATCCAACCCAAAGACCAAGGAGGCCTAGGGATTATAGACCCTGATACCCAGATCACAACATTCACAGTCCAATGGGTTAGGAGGCTCCTCTTCACTCAGCGTCTCCCATGGCACACCCTTGCGTTGCAACAGATCGTTAGACTCGCCCCACAAACACCGCAAGGAGTCGGCCCATTAACCTGGCTGGAAGACCTTTTTCTGGGCTGCCCCGGTCCCCTCGAAATAGTCGACCCACGTGCCAAGACACAACTGGCTTGGATCTGGTCAGGGACTTATGGGCCCTCGTTTTGAAAGCGCGACAACTTCCATTGCCTAACAAACCCCCACCGACTAGGTGGGACGAGGTGATGCGTCAAACCCTTTTTGGGAACAGGAGAATTACGGACCGGCACAAAAGAGTGTATTGCAGCTCACTCAACCCGTGGAACAGCTGGGTCAAAAAAGGTATAATGATACCATAATCAGAATAAAGGATATATGGGATACAGGGACGCGAGATTGAAAAACTGCGCAGCAACTAAAGACCATATTAAAATATTGTCACGGTGTTGAGGAATACACCGAATCATTGATCTTTGCTATCCCCCTTGACTGGGTGCGCATCCTGCACAAAGGGCCGCAGCTGGCAGAAGGAGACTGGGTAGCAGGGTTGGGTGATCCGGAAAACGTGGACAATGTGGTAGAGGCACGACTGGACGAAACACTGATTAACCTCTTCCACATAGGCAAAGATAATGTCCACATGGGCAAGGATAAATTGGATAATGTGCTCACCCGGTACAGCCCAGAAGTAATGAGATGGTGGAGAAGTGCGGACCTACACAGGATCCGAGTGCTGCCGGACAAAGAGGTGTGGAGCGCTTACCAGCCAAACACCCCCTTGGCAGAGCTCCTGTTTGACCCCAAGGAATGGCAGTGGGTCCCTATACGAAAATACACAACGGGGGAGAACATAAAGTTTCATACTTTAACAATAACAAGTGGACCTGCAGCAGCCACGCTGCGGCAGTGAGGGGGGTCGAAGGCAGAGGCAGGGGGGATGGCGAGGGGAGAAGAGGAGGAGGAGAAGATGGCAAAGCAGTGAAAGGAAGACGGGACGGGAGGAAGAGGGGAGTGCGAAAATGTTTGGTTCCAAAAAAAAAATAAAAAAAAAATGTACGTGTCTCTTTCTTTTTCTCTCGCTGTCTATGTCGGGATAGCGGAGTGTGTGTGTGTGTGTGTGTGTGTGTGTGTGTG